CAACATTTCTGGGTTGCTCAGGGCCGCATCCTTGTTTGGGTGTTTTGGAACTGGGGTGAGCAGCAGCATCTTCATGTTTTATCTCCTCAACCTAGACCTGCTCACTCAGCCTAGTCCACCATTTCTTGCTTGTGATAAAGGCCTTTGCTGTGTGCCATGGGAAAGTAGGGCTTAACTCTTTAAAACTCTTTAACTCTTTAAAACGGTGCTTTCAAACTATGAGGAAAAGTCTTTTGCCCTTGACCTGGTATGGTCAGGTCTCCCGTAACCTTCAAGCCATCTTGGGAATTCTCCCACTGACTCTCATGGCCACGGTGACATTTTTTATGCTCCTGTTGTGGCAGCTGAGGGGAAAAAACATCGATCGGATTCCACCAGCTTGAGGAGATTAATAGTGTGCTGGGATTTCAAGGCAGCCCCTTCTACGGTAGGCAAAGCCTTGGCATTAATATTTAAAATTCTTTTGACCTCTTCATGTTTTAATTAGCAAGCGGAAAACTCTGTGGCAGGCGCCAGGAAAAAAAAAAATCCTTAAGATCAAAGCGGACTCTAATTCACATTTATGCTTGTTACGTTCAAAGAAGCCTGTTAGTAAAATGAGTCTCGGATTTAGATGTAAAGACTTAATCTATTGGTTACAAAAGGTGAGTGTTTTGTCCTGAGAAAAATAATCACATTTCAATGTACTTTAAAAGTGCTTAAAAAAAGGGAGATATTGTTGATTTTGCCAGTATATCAGCAATGGCAATTTTAGTTTCCGTATGGCAGAAAAAGTGCTTTCCTCTCAAACCTTATTGAAAATTTATCTAGAGACAGCCAAAATGAAATATTCATTACCTTCTACTAAATAATAAGAAAAAAATGTGAAACTGTGATGTACCCCAARGAACAGAATGCAATTATTCTGTGATATTTCCAAAGGAGTGGGAGGAAACAGATGTTTTGTAAAAAGAAGCAACTTGTGAGACACCCGAATTGACAGTAACTTGCACGTAGCCCCCCAGACACACTAGACTCACCTTGGTGGAAAGGAGGAAAAGCGAGTGAAATACTCATCTCCTTCGGGAGATATTTTCTATTTCGAAACATGGAACCTGGAAATAGAAAGTCCAAACCTTCATACTTAAAAGCACAAAGTGATCCATGAAAATAATCCCATTTGTTCCAATGCTGATGAGAAGAGGCTGATGTTCTCTCTGTGTTAAAAGTAGTTATGGAAGAAAATCCTAAACAGTAAAATAAAGTCTCAATTTCTGTGTTACTGGATTGTCTTGTTCTCTGCCTTTTAATACCTCATCAGCCTACACTCACCTTAGTACCTGTGCAGAAATATTTTCACAGAATCACAGAATCACAGAATGGTTGAGGTTGGAAGGAGAYCATCTAGAGATCATCTAGTCCAACCYCCTGCTCCAGCAGGGACACCCAGAGCACAGGGCACAGGGTGGCAGCCAGGCGGGTTTGGAAGATCTCCAGAGMAGGAGACTCCACAACCTCCACAATTTTAATTCATGAGATGTAAGATGGATAAAACTTCCAAAGCACACCTCTGCTTTGGATTTCAACAAGCATCCAGAACAAAATCCTTTCCTTTTCTTCAAACAGTTGGAAAASCACAGTGAGCTGGGCAAAAGGAAGGAAGCTCTGAGAGGAGAACTACTCAGCAAGGCTTGTCAAAACTATTTTGATGCTTCTCTGATAGGTGTCAGAAAGGTCTTGYGTAGAATGGCTCGACATAAAAGGGTTTTAGGTCAGCAGATGAGAGACTGCGGGAAGCTATTAGGGGAAAATGTTGTCTGCAACACAGAAGGTATTCTAGACTTTTATATTTGAGAAAAAAACATACAGGAAGGTGGAGTTTCATAGGTCCCACAACAGAAAATACTATTTTCTGACAGCAATCTTGCTGGGGAGGATACCTCCTGTAGAAGGCAGTCCTGCTGAGACTCTCCTTGAGACCTGCAAGCACAGAGGGGAGCTTGAGCTGTCAGCTTGAGCAGTGAAATGACTCCATCCACTCTGGTATTTCACTCATTTCCACACGTTTCAYTCATTTCCACACGAAATGAGAGGGCTCTATCTACACAAGCTAGAAAGGGTTGGTCTATATAGATAAATAGACATGGGCTTTCCATTCCCAAGACAGGAATGGTTTTAACAGTCACGGTGTTGAAGGGCTTACGTTAGACTTGATGATCTTGAAGGTCTTTTCCAAACATAATTATTCCATGACTCTAATTCTAAGACTGATCTTGGCTGGGTCCTGGGTTCTAGCAAGAGTTAGAGGTCACTTTGCATGGGAGCGCTGCCTGGACTAATGCACTAATCTCTTAGTCATTAGCAACCACTTCACTAGCATTGAAAGCTGTTGCTTGTGACACTAAGTCCAAACATACCACAYAGGCCTCTCCAGCACTTTTTTGTTTGCCTTGAATGAGAAAAYACATGGTCTGAACAAAGGTAAATCGCAGAGAAGAAATACACTTTTAAAGAGCCAGTGTCATCTGATACCATTTTTGAACTTCTATCATATATCCAAAGCTGGCAGGAGACCAACAGCAACCTTGCTGGGGTGGACATGAAGCATCTAGGTGTCTAGCATGCTCTAGGTGTCCCTGCTTGAGCAGGAAGGTTGGACTAGATGATCTCTAGAGATCCCTTCCAACCTCAACCATTCTGTGATTCTGTGATTCTGTGATCTAGAGAAGCAACTGGCTACACGGTTGAGTTCCATCTGGAACCTACCCAGCTTCATTAGCACAACACTGAACCTCAGCTTCTGGCTTGCAGGTATTTATCTAGGGTCTGTGCTTTCAAAGTAACAGTCAAGGTAATAGGATGAAAGTTTACCAGTCTAGAATAACAGAAATGTTCAGAAATAAAACAAGTCACATACACACACACACAAAAAAACGTGCTGCAGTTCTGGTTGTGCTACTGACATTTTAGGATGTTTATGCTTCCATTACTAGCTGTCTAAAAAAAGTCAAAATTTCTGCCATAGCAGATAAAAACATCATCTCCTCCTCCAGCAAGGGTGGAGGAAATGTGGTGGAGGTCTGCAAGGGGAGCAGTTTCATACAGCCTGAAAAAAGCAACAGAAAGAAGGCAAGCAAAGAACAGCAATGAGCATCCACCTATCAAGTAAATCCAATCAGGGGAGTTTTTCCAAGTATATATACAACATTAAATACCAGAATCACAGAATGGTTGAGGCTGGAAGTCCAACCTCCCTGCTCCAGCAGGGACACTGAGAGCACRGGGCACAGGGTGGCATACAGGCAGGTCTGGAAGATCTCCAGAGAAGGAGACTCCACAATCTCCCTGGGCAGCCTGTTCCAGGGCTCTGTCACCCTCACAGCAAAGAAGTTCTTCCTCACATGCAGATGGACCAGCCTGTGACTCAATTTGTACCAGTTATCCCTTGTCTTGTCACTGGCCACCACCAAGAAGAGTTTGGCCCCATCCTCTTTACATCCTCCCCTCAGGTATTTGTACAAATCGGTCAGATCTCCTCTCAGTCTTCTCCAGGCTAAAGAGTCATAAAACACTGAAGAATGAACATGAGCTTCAGCTTGGGATTCTCCTCATCTACACTAGTCATGGTCAGAGGGTCTCATACCAGGAGCAGAAAATGGAGCCTGCAGAATCCTGCTGCCCCCTGAGCAGCTCTGTCCAACCAGAGCACGAGAAGCTCCTGTGCCCACGGGCTACACTGCAGGTCCTGGTGCCCATGCATGTGCACGTGCTCAGCCATGGGAAGCAGCCACGGCATCATCAGCGATGCCTGGGGCACCTCTCTGCTTGGCYGCCTTCCATGGGGAAGGCTGTAGTGGGTAGGGAAGGGGGAGCRATGATGAAGTAGGATGGGTTGGGAAGTGGGGCAGAAGGCTGGGACCTGCTGCAGTGAGTGTGGGCACCAGGTACAGGAAGGACATGCCTCTGCATGCGRGTTGGCAGCAGGGAAAGGGTGAGACAGACAAGGAGGGTGGTGCCGAAGAGCGGCGAGGATGAGGAAGCTAACTAATTCCCCAGCAGAGCCCTGCGGGCAGACGCCACCCATGCAGTTTTTCCCCAAGGGAAAGGCAAAAATAAACTGCACCACACAAGCAGATCCGTTCCTGCCTTCCACAGAGCACAGGCGAGGACCTGCATGCCTGCAGGAACTTGAAGTCAGCATAGCTCAACTGTGCAGCCTGGCTAAGGGCATCCAGACCTTCGACTGAAAGGACTGCAATATTCCCCTCTTTGACCCCTTAATCCCTGCAGTCTCCTCCACGATTCTGCTCTGCAAAACACAAACAGGAGCTGGGTGTGATCAGGCAGATGTGAGCACAAAACTGCGATGCCCCCGTGGAGCCCAACTGCACAACGGTCCAGCCCGACCATYATATGGTCTATTTCTGCCTAAAGAAAACTGCAGCACACACCAGTATTCACAATTACACAGGAAAGGGCAAGGCTGAGGCTGGGAATTCATCACACGTTTTGCACCATCTCTTCATTTGCTAAGACTTTAAATTGCATGTACTTGTTCAAAAAGGTTCGGCTCCATCGCGTGCTGAGCATTCCTTACCTGCAGAATATTCAGAATCTTGCTTCTGTTAGTCCTCTCCTTCCTTACTAACAACAACCAGCAAAACGCGATTATTTTTCAAGCAGCAACTGTTTATTATTGGGAAAAACATTAGGACTTTTATCTTTTTCTCTCTTACATATACTTGATTTGAGTAAAAATAATTTAATTTTTTTTTAATATATTACATGAAAATAACTGGAAACTAGGCTTCTGGCAACAAGAACACTTAGACAAACCTGTCATTTAGCTGCTGAGATGTAGCACTTGCATGTTTTAACTCAAACAAACAATTGCAATTGTCATTCCAGTGAAGAAAATTAATCCATTTATAAAATATTTTGAAATTTGAGAATGGTATATAGTTACACTAGAAAGTATTCATAATATAGTGTGTGAGTTACAGCATATTACCTAAAATATATACTTCTCAGACTTTACAAGGTCAAATATTTTAGACCATATTCCAGTGGAAAAACACTACAAACGTATTACAATCCTTTTAAGGTCCTTATGGAATTAACTTTTATTTCCTTTTGAGGAATTATAATTTAATATCTCGAGCAATAAAACACTGCATACAAACTAGCTTGCAGAAGTTTGTTCGCACTGACTTGGACAACTGCTCTTCTAGCAAAGGACGAAGCACCTTTAGCAACAATGCCAGAGCACCGTCGTTACGTAGCTGATGAAGAAGCAGGTTCTGTGCACAGACTGCTACAATTTTTGTGRCATCTCTGCAAATCTGATAAAAATTACTGCATGTTTAGTAATAAGAAATTAAAGTAACAGGAATTAAAATATGCTTAAGGCTGGGGCAGGAATACAGTTACAAGACAAAGATTCCATTAAGTAATCCAATTCACATTATCTGATAAAAACTTCCAGTACAGAGACTGTTTTCTTCTTCTTCTTTTCCTTTCTAAAATACATGCACCGTACTCCAAGTTCCCTTCCCAGGCTTACCATATGTCTTGTTAGTTGAATGTGGGTATAGTTCAGCTTTTCATTCAGATGCAAGGTTAATGAACGTCATTCAGCATGACCTGAATGGACTTTATTTAAAAAAAAAAAAAAGCACAAACAAAAAACTAACTAAAACCCTCCCAAATAATTAGCATGTCAAGGTATCACTTTAGTGCACAAATTATTATCTGTAGACATCTGCAGTGTAAAAATGAGATGGAATTTGAGAAGGTATTTATTTGCAYTGAGGACCATATTAAATTTAATGTAATTGTCACAGTCATGGCTGTCTGATAGTCAATGGAAAAGCATCCTGCACTGAGGACTCTATTACCATGACTGCCAAAACTGTGTTCTTGTAACAGTTGAACCTCAGGGGTCAGTTCCCTTTTAAAGGCCACTGAAAAYGTTGGCTGGTATTGCAGCCTCACAAACAAGCCAAGCCCATCTAAAAAGACACTGTTGAACCCTTTAAAAATAAACATTTAATTTCAGTATATTTTGGGTTTTTTTGTTTCGYTCCTGGCTTCTTTTATTTTTGTAACTGCCTGCTGTTTCCAGCGCCATCTCATTCCTTCCTCCGCCTCTTTTGCCATTTTCCACTTGGCAGATGCTCCCCACCCCACCCTGCTGCTCCTCAGGGCGCACGAGGCTCTGCCCTGGCCTTTGCGTGTTTCTTTGCCCGTATCCGTAACGTCAGGGGGGATTTTCGGCCCTGGAATGTGCTTTAGGAACTAAGATTCATTTTCTTTTACTAAGGAATGCCTTCTTTCACACCGCAGCCAGGTGCAAATATTGTCATTTTAAAGAGAGCGGGTATCAGTTGTGCAGGTCAGAGAGCCGTGGAGACATTCGCGCCRGACTGCAACAGTTTTCAGATCAGGCAAAAATCTGGACCTAAACTATGCAATTATGTCTTCCTTTCTAAATTTAGAATTACTTTTAGTTTGACGAAGAAATATTCTACTGGTATGAGATCAGAGGTTTGGAAATTATTATGCATATTTACGCCTTACRTACGTTTTACTTCTCTTCTCTAGATACATTACTCATCGATTTAATTCACTCAGGAATCTACCATACTGTCAACCAACTACAGTAATCCAGAAATATTTCTTATGTATGGAAGGGGCTTAATCATTAAGCCTACACCTTCCCACAAAACTTCAATGTTTTTGATTGGTAAAGAGCATTTCTCATTGAAATAATACTGAAGTGGAGCCCAAGACCTCCTCCATTTATAGGACTGTTAAGTTAATTAACTTCTCAGGACAAAATGCTGATCACACTTAATGACAAGATACACTATCATTTTCAAGACAGCTCCAGCGGCAGCTCTGGTGGGACAACAGTGTATCTGGGGTCCAGTTTGGGTATGAAACCCTTGAAGTTCTTAGAGGCTTCGGTACCAAATACATCTAAAACTTTCCTATTCATGAGCGCAAACCTGAAAACAAAACAGACAGGAGAAAGGGAACAAATTACACATTTATTTATACATAAACAGAATTACTACTAGAAAGATTTTACTACATGACAGACTACCCATATCGTCAAAATACAGGCTTCAGCTTGCACTGTTTATAGACTAAGGTTTTTGTCTTGGGCAGTAAAAATTAAAAATGTATACTGGATTATCCAGATAATCTGATTTATAGGGTAGATTTGTGTAGATATGTTTCACATAAAAAAACTTGTGGAAAATGGGAAAGGAGAAAATCCCATTCTTGTAACTTCTAACACCATCAAAAATCTCTAAACAAAATATATTTCACTTCTTTTTCACCCCAGCACAGAGTAAACTGGCCTGGCCTGTCTATGCCTGTATTGATAGTTTTATGCATACCAAAGCTTATTTCTACTTATTTTTCAAAATTGTTGACTGAAAAGCCCTCTGAAATGTCCAAAGAAAACCTTAAAATTACTACTACAGAAATCTACTTCAAGTAAGAGAGCAGCAGGCCATGGAATTTCTTTCCCCCCCTTCTCTTTCAACTAAAGCAATTTTAGGATTAGCWCAAGATTAGCAAAAGGCAGCCAAAACTGGACATCTGCAGCGACGCCGCCCGTGTCCCGTCTGCACAGCCCCAGCTGTGGCCTCCCAACGTCCCAAGGAAAGATTCCCACCATGTCTWGCAGTAAGTCATCTAATGGCCAGCTAAGAGTGCACCAGGCCACGGGGTGTGTAGGTTCTCTGTGCTCCAGGAACTGGCCTCTGAGCTCACTTCTATTTTTATAGGATGGACAAGGAGACTCTAATCTTAAAACTGTCCTTCAAGCTACAGTGGGGATATCTAAAGGACTGCAAGCAACTCCCTGGCTCTTGGAGTGGACTTTATTTCTAACCTGATCAAAGTCAAGATTTAGATGCCTTTTTCTGCCTTATTATCAGTACAATAATGTAGACTTACCAAAATAAATTGATTATGGTAAATTCTAGTTGAAAATACAAGTACTTTAGATCCCCACAGCAAATAAGAATAAAGTTTATTCACTTATACAGGGCAGTATRAGTTCATGGCTATAGTATGTGAAAAAGAAACCACTATTTTTCCAAGAAAAAAAAATCTCTCCTGTCCCAATGAAAATAGAAATCATATAAAAAACTGCTGAATCTTCCAAGGAATTTTATTTTCATGGGATATACTCTGACATTTCTGATAYTATTTTTTAAACAGGTAGTATCACGTTGCAAACTCAGTACAACACTGGTTTCYTCAAGTTATCTACTTGTTTACTTGCTGCTTTACCTAAAACTGAAATCTGAAAGTATTCTACCTGTCCAGGGGAACTGAAGGAAAGGATTTAGAAAGCTGAACGTGAGCAATGGTATGTTCAGACAAGCTGAAATGTATCTTTGTTTACTGACCTGCCCTTTGTTAGGCGTAAAAGAAACTTCCAGTAGGAAGGTCGCAGGTTCTGAACTTCCATCACAGCCTGTAAGCAGAAAACTCAGTGAGCACCAGCTGCAGAGGGTTAGGCCAAAGGCACATCTTGCTTGTCAGCTTCCCTCAAACAGTGCCCATGAAAGGATGGGTAGGTAAGAATATATACATTTAACAGAAAAGAAAAAACTTTCATGATTCATGAACTGAAAGCCATTGGCAACGTACATCACACTCGGTAATAAACCTGAATTCAAWGCTTTATATGAACCACCAGCACAGGGTGGCATTTCCACAAGACTGTCCTTCTAGAGCGGTAACTTAGATCCCACTGTTGTGCAGAGAAAACAAAAACAATCCCTGGTATTCCTACTASTGAGTAGTCATGGGTGCCAATTTTTTCTTTCTATTTCATTTCCCATTCATTCTCTGTTATGTCATCTATGACTCTGCATACTCGTCTTTACATTTTACTACCCCAAATAATGTCAGATAACSAAACCCTTCATCTTGTCTCTCATGAATACAGTGAAGAGCATATCCCTCAGCATAGATCTGTTTCAGATTTCCCCCTCTTTCCCTTCTACTAAAACTAGGAATTAATTTCTTGTTTTGGATCCTGATGTTCCAACTCATTACTAAATAATGAAAGAAACTCTTYAAACTCATCTCATAATAACTTAATTTCCTTTTAAGCCTCATGTAATGAACCCTGCAAACAGTATTTTAGAGATTTCAGTACTGCAGTTCTTTGGATACACAGGCACACCTCGTGCTAAAATATCAATTCATTTTGGTGTTAGAACAAACATTTTGGTGKTTGGTATTCTGAAATATGAAGGAGAGAGGAGGAGTTTTCCCTTAGGCATAGAGCAGTAAAGATGTGTTCAGGTCTTTTCATATTCTCTTTATAGAGGGATAAAAATGTATTTCATTATGGAATAAAAAACATCCAAAAACATTCAATTGGACATTTAGGCATTAGAAAGGGTGGAGTGTAGCAGAATAACGCAGAGTAATTTAGTTACTGCTGTAAAGGAGATTTTACAGCTGGTATACCAGATGGAAAGAAACCGAGGATAAGGACACAAAAAGGACTTGGAAAGAGTGAAAAAAAACCCCCAAACCTACAGCTTGTTTCAAATTTAAAGTTTTAGATTCACCTCCCCCACCAAAATCTCCAGRTTCTTTCGAACATGCAATATTACTTACATGGGAGTGAAAATTTCCATATTACAGTGTAATGTTAGCATCTTAAAACAAAACTAAACATTTCTATCCMTATTTGAGTCACTGAATTGGAGATCCTTTCCAAAGCAGGCTGCATTCAGTCATGTAGAAGAAATCTGAGACATAGAAATGACCTTTCCCACACAGTATCCTTCAAAAACAGGAAGCGGGAGTCCTCACTCACCTTGCTTTGCTCACTACATCACACCATTGTTTCTACACCACCGTAGCCTTAAACTCCTCACTTCTTYCAGCATATGACTTACACCAAAATAACTGTATCTGCTCTTAGAAGGCAACATACTTACGGCCTGAAAGCATATAGATGTGGAAATGGCATAGATGATGCTGTCTGCGTGAGGAAAATAAGGAACTTTCCCTGCTTCAATGCCTTTGAAGTATATAGTCTGTAAAAGTAAAAAAAATACGRATATATATAGATGCTGAACAAAACAGAGAAGCAAATTACAAGTAACTTTCTACTTTTTATCACATTCCCATTTACAAAGTAACCTGTTAACATTACTTGCATATGCTCACATGGTTCTGTGTTATATCCATATCTCAAATGTGATATTGACTGAACAAACTTCAATAACTTAGCTAAGATCTTGGAATAAGTGCCTATAAATACACCAAAAAGCACACGACAAAAGTTTGAGCATTAAAAGGGTAACATGGATCTTAGAGATAAAAAGAGAAAGTGTGTTGTGTCAAATTCTTCATTTTAAAAAAGCAAAAGAATAGTGCAATAGCTAGTCCAACAGAGTGAATATTCACTGTTCTTAAACAGCTTGAATTCACATACTTTTCTTTCTGAGAAAACATGCACAGTTTATTTTCCTGAGCACAGCTTGACCTTCTAAAGCAGCATACGCCTCTTTGGTCAGTTACCCTTGGCTTGCGTAAGATGATAAAAGTAGTTAAAAAAAGGAAAAAAAAAGAAAGAACACACAGCGCTTTTCTTATTTCACTGTAGCCACAATGTCTCAAAGTACAGAGAAAACCATCCACAATACATTTTTTTTAGCAATTTTTAGCAAATTTTAGCAATAGCTTTAAAATTCAATAGGGATAATCAGAGTTGCTTTTATGTAGCCATTATGGGTGCTATCTTCTGAACATGAACCAGGAATACAAAGAACAAGAAAAAACAGTGTATTCTCCCTTTTTATGTCTATTTTTTTTCTGTTTTTTGTTTTTTTAATTTAACATTCCTTCATAATTTTTTTTAAATAAATGTCATGAAGGAGAAATCAGCATAAAAATAGAGCTGTGTCAATTTATTTCAGTGGTGGTGTTATGGAAATGTTATTTCATGGAAAAATCACAGTGAAAATAGAATCTGGCTAGTGATATATATTCAATATATATCTAAAATTTGATTTTTTTTCTTGGCTCCTAATTTTAACCACTTCATAGAAATAAGGGAGAAAAGATTTTCAAACCTGAAAGACCTGGTAGTTTGATAGAGGTTCTCTTCAAAGCTGGGCAGTCAATCAGTTGAAGCACCCTGACAAACAACTGCAGCTATGGACTCCAACCTAAGCTATTTTGAGTTATCTTAAGACTGATGAATGCCAAAATTAGGGAACAAAGGCAGGAAGTTAAGCTGTAGCTTTTGGCAATAARTCTGCAATTAAGGGTAAGTTCTGATTTATGTTTCTGGCAGGATGGACAAAGTCCACATTCTTGAAACTTTCAGATTTWAAAAAAAAAATTGCAAAAGCTCCAAAGCAAAGAGCTACCAAAAAAGGAGATGGAGAAAACAGAGTTTTCATGGATCCATGGAACATGGATCAATAGATGTGAGATTTTTGAAGAAAGTCACATAGAAAGGAGGTGGATAAAGACATGAGGCCACAGAGTAGCACATACCTACTCAAATGCACCACTAATGTACAATCTCCCCCTGCCCAGGAAGGTTCTACCAAAGCCTGTGAAGTTCATRGTCTTTTTCTGTCTTGAGAAAACACCTGAAATATGAACTTTGTTGTCAGGGTATTATCTTACCTCTACTAATTTGGAAGCCAGGTACATAGAGATAGTAGTACTTTTGTAAAACATCATAGAAATTCCTGCGAGAGCCCCTGTAATGATTAGAAAAAAAAAACTATCATTAAACTCTGATTTACTGTGGCTGTTGCACCATGTCTGCAACCAGAACTGCACAGGATCCTGGTTTCTGCTGCCACACCTCTGTTCAGTGGTGATCTGGGGCTGCCCACCAAACTCTGGTTTATGTCGTTCAGCAGAAAAAGAGATTCAGGGGTTCCACAGTGTGACAGAGGTGCACGCAGCAGTGAAGGAGCTGCGACCCTGCACAAGCTTCATAGCAAAAGGATTCTTCTTTGGATGGACAAATGCATTTCCTGTTACGTGTGACCAGGGCTTGGAGAACAAGGGGCAYGTTAACATTTGTGCATGCAGTAATTTATTGTCCTTGAAGCTGAATATAAATGACAGACATATCATTTCACAAAATTTTCCTTTACAATTTTAAATATAACTCTTAATTTGAAACCACTTGAAAACACTGGTGTTACACTGAGGCAGCCTTACTATACATGGTCCTATTTTCAACACAGAAGTCTGAAACAGGAATTGCAGGATAAACACCCACGGTGTGCTGGGCAGAAACTCCTGCAGGACCCAACAGGGTCAATATTCACTTTCTATGGACTTACCAGCTACAAGTGCATGGAGCTCATCATCCAGGTTTCGTATCCAGCGTAGAAAGCAGCTAGTGCCCTGCAGCGAACGGAGAGAAGCACAGTCCTCGTTACTGCTCCTTCGGAGTCCACAGATATTCCACAAAATGTTTTGCAATGTTTTAATTAACCGTTTATATTGTTTCAAAAGAAGAGAGCAGACAGCACTAATTAGAATATGTCAGCCAGACATTCCAATCAAATTCACACGTGGCCAGGAAAGTTCATCTTGACTTCAGAGCATCTTCATGTGCTATCGTTACCTATACTCTCTCCCATGCCAAAATCTGTTTTCAACTACAAAACAAACATCTTGAGATTATATTGAGAATATTAATATATTGTATACAAATACAATACATTCTGGGAACAGGAAATCACGTGAGTCTAAAGAGTTAGAACTGCACATGCTTAAAAGTCACACCAAACTCCATAAGCAATAACCTGCTTGTTCACACAACATCAATTCAGAGCTGTTAAGCCAGAATGGATGTAAGTAATTTGTGGTTTTGCTTGCATTAAAATATATTATATTTGGAGGCTGCAGGTTACCAAATGATTCATATTGTTCCATGTCTGTCATATGCTCTGTATTGCTTTTTTCAGCTGTTCTGGAAATCCACCCTCTGCCTACAGATTTTAGCCTTGTTAAATTTCCATTTGCTTCCAAATGGTTTGAAATTTGCTAAGCAGGGTCAGACCCAGGGCTGATGGCTTGGAACCATGTTATGTAATTCAGCATGATGGCCAGCTTCTCCTTGCATACCATACTTTCCAATGCCCTACCCATCTTGCTGCCTTCCACTGAACTCACACCAGTATTTCAATGTCTTATACAAGTGAGCCCAAAATGGACACCAAAAAACAGATGTGGCCTCGTTAGTTAGTTTACAATACATATTTTTAATAATCAAATATTCTACAATGCCATTAATGCATTGYACTTCTGACAATCAGCTTGACTACTCAAACTTGTAATCTTACATAAAGAAAGGAAACAAAGCTACGATAACTGACTCATTTTCCATAAGTCTTTGCTGATATAAAGTAAGAATGGAAGGGAGCTCAGGATATTAAGACTACAGCTACTGCAGTTCTATAGAGGCAGTTCAGGCTGCTTATGAAGATGTTTTTAAAAAGTGATCCATAACTGAATTCTGTATCAGGAGCTACATCAGAGTTCTGTATCAGAACTCTGGCTGTGACCCACTGCAGGATTAGGATCTCTGCTGCTCCATATGCTTATCTCAAACTGAAAAAAACATATTGCAACATAAGTGCAGGGCACACAGTGAACTATAAATAAATGCCAGAGTACATGTCACCTTTATAGAACACGTATATGCATAGAATAAATCATATTTGGTAGTCAGAGTTCTTAAAAGACTTCAAAGAAATCTCCATTCCAGCATTTGCATTTTAAATACTATTTTCTCTAAAAGCACTTGTCTTAACGTTTAAACAAAAATCTAATTATTAAATAAACCCTGAAYAGACTGTTGACACACTGCCACCAAAAATTTTAAACTCAGTAACCTAAAAACTCCTTGTGTCTCAACCTGATGGCAAAGTGTAATTCTGTTTTACTTATAAGTAAGACTTGCTCGTTTTTTCCTTTTTTTTTTTTTTTTGGTTTTCAGCATGTAGTATTTGCCTCGAATAATACAGCATTATCTTAACTTTTCCGAATAAGTAAAGTAGCATTGTAAAAGTATCAATACAAAACTGTAACAGCCACTTCAGCATTGCAGTATATAGCATAATCTCCTTTAGAATATGTGTTTGGCCAGATTCTATTTTGACATAAACAAATACGATTCAATTAGCTTCGACAAATGTGGTATTAATGTGCACAGTTCACCAACTGTCACCTCACGATRACAGAAGGGCAGATTTACAAGTGGTGAGTGCAATGTCTCCTCAGTTGTACTTGATGTATGTTCTGCAATCTCCTGCTATTTAATGTCAAGTCAGAATTCCAGGCATTTGAGCCAAAAAATCTGCACGCAGCTTCTCTGTGGCAATCCTGCTGCTACTGCAGTCACTAGTTGTATCTGTGTTGAAACATTTTTGCACAGCAGAAAGTCCCTTGGAAATCTGAGTTCTCTTTCTCTGAAATACTCCATATGTCTCGATCTTGAAATCMGGCTGTAAAATCTATCTCATTGATGGCAAAATGGCAGAAAAAAACAGAAGAATGAATCGTGGAATGGGAGACTRGTTTGCTATTGATGATACTAAGGATATTTTCAGAATATTTTCAGATATTTGCAGAATCCAGTAACAATACTAAGTGGTCGGACCTTCTACTTCTTCATATTCAGAAAATCAAAAACATTAAAAATCCCTCAAATCCCTCAAACCCAAAGAGCACTCATAATTTATGYACGTTTATATATACTTACTTTGTATATACTGACAAAAGATCCCAGAAAAGCTCCAAGCTGGAAATTTTCCTTGTTGTAGAAGAGCGAAAGGAGCCGGGAAGGTTCAGTAAAGAGATGCCTGAACGTGGATGGGATCCGAAGGCAGCACTGGATCAGGTAACCGATGCTAAACATCCTAACGAAGCCCTAGGGAGAACCACGAGAAACCACATCTTCAGGAAAGGAGAAAGCAAAACCATGAGCTCTGCAAGCCGTGGTCACTTGCCTTTGACCCTGAACATTTTAAAACCCACCCTGCAGCCCCTAGGGAGAACACATCCTCATCTTCCAACTCAAAACCAGATTTTTTTCCCCCAAATTTCCTGTAAAAAGGCAAAAGCAATAAAATCCGGGACAATTGGCTCTCCTTTAATGTACATAAATATTTGAGAAGGCCTCAAAGGACATAGTCTGTTTATCTTCTGCTCCAATATTCTATCCTTCAAAATAACCGTGATGGCTTAACTTCCAGAACTGCTGAAAAGGGATAAYGTGGGTTCCCATGAATTTCTCCTACTATTCTACCTTGGATGCACATCTGCTTTTTCACATCATCTCACAAGATTACACAGACCTTTTCATTTCAAATGATTTCCCCCAGTTTCTTGTAACTTCCTGCAAAGATTCCTTATCATTATTCTTCCTCTATGGCTGAACTTCCCTGAGAAGTTTGAATAAAATCTATCCAGTTCTTCAGTTAGAAGATACCTCATCTGAAAAGTATCTGAACACTGTGTGGTCCTCACTGGCAAATAAGGCAGGTACCCAACGCTCTCAGTTCCTCTAATTCGGTTTTTGGAACATACTCAAAGGCACTGAGGTAACTCCAATTACAGTGATCATTGGCAGAGGGTTGAATGGAGCAATCTTTCAAGTTTAGAAACTAAGTATATTTTTGCCTCTTACAGAACATTACGAACCCTCACAAAACTGAGAGCAATCCCACACAAAACGGAGAGCAGCTCTGCAGAGAGGGACCTGGGCATCAGGGTGGATGACAGGTTGACCATGAGGCAGCAGTGTGCMCTGGTGGCCAAGAARGCCAACGGGATCCTGGGGTGCATTAAGAAGAGCGTCTCCAGCAGGTCGAGGGAGGTGATCGTTCCCCTCTACACAGCCCTGGTGAGGCCACATCTGGAGTACTGCGTCCAGTTCTGGGCTTCCCAGTACAAGAGGGATGTGGAGCTGCTGGAGAGAGGCCAGTGCAGGGCTACGAGGATGATCAGGGGCCTATGAGGAAAGGCTGAGGGAGCTGGGCCTGTTCAGCCTAGAGAAGAGAAAGCTGAGGGGAAACATGATCAATGTCCCTCAAGGGAGGAATGAGGAGGATGGAGTGGCCTCTTTTCAGYGGTGGCCAGCGATAGGACTAGAGGCAACAGCCACAAACTGAAGCACCAAAAGTTCTGCAGGAACTTAAGGAAAAATGTTTTGACAGTGAGGGTGACAGAACACTGGAACAGGTTGCCCAGACAGGTTGTGGAGTCTCCTTTGGAGATCTTCAAAATCCACTTGGACACARCTCTGTGCCATGTGCTCTGGGTGACCCTGTGTGTGCAGGAGGGTTGGACTTGATGATCTCCAGAGGTCCCTTTCAGCCTTRAGGATTCTATGATTCTATGAAACTCTTACAATTTTCTTTTTTTTCCTAGTTAAATATTCAGTAATAAACATTTCATGCAGCAACTACTCTCCCCTAACAGATGCTTAAGAGCTGGTGTAACTAAGCTGCAAAGATGTAGTTTAACTAACAGGCAAATAATACTGTTGTTTGTGCAGATGAGGATGGATAGTGCTTCTGTGTTATGGAAGAAAGTATACTGCATCACTGGATGACCAATTAGCTAAGTATGAAGATACTAGAGCTTTTGTGGAGTCAAGATTAAGATGAATGTATATCCCTATCTCAAATGAAGAAATTATCTTGTCTAAAGTACAGTGCTTATCYTCCTTCCCTCTCCCTCCCAAAAAAGGATGATTATGAAGAATGTGTCATTACTTTGGGAAAATAAAAGGAAAAAAAGAAACTAAGAATAGTTATGAGCAAAACTCAAACTAGGAAAGGAGCAACAAGACTTGCTGAATGTCTCAGGCAGTTATAGGGAAGGCTGTTTTGTCTGGGTGAGGAAGGCCACGACACACTTAGGTTTCAACTGGCAAGCAGTCAAATAGAGCTGCTATTCCATTGCAGTATTTTTAAGCAGTAACCCACTTAGAAGTGCTGAGCTGCAGGATTAGGGCTTTTGCTTTGCTGCGTATCAACCAGCAGTAAGCAGGCCACAAGATTTTTCTATTTATCTCAGTATATCAGCTTGGGAATATGTATCACAGACTTTATAGGTGTTTTTTCAGAATCGGGGCCTCAAGTGAAGGAAGTGGAAAAAAATACAGAATTCACAGAATACTGTAAAAATACAAGTGAGAGAAGTAAACTCTGCATTTCATTTCTGCTAGGAGACTTCTCTGTAGAAATCTTGAATTAGAACTCAGATTGGCCAGAGGTAGCAGTCCAATGGAGCTATTTCTCTGCAAAACTCACCAAATATTTATTTATTTATTTATTTATTTATTTATTTATTTATTCATTTATTTATTTATTTTTGTAGAAACACATTTCTCAAAAAGCTAATAATATTGTCAAGATACAGCTCGGAAAGAACTATGGAGACAGAGTTGCAGCAACATACGAAAATGTACTCCTCCTCTGGGAATATATGCTGACATATTTAAGGTACTTTCAGATAATCCCTTTACATTAGATGAAGAACAATTAAAATTAAATTTCACGTATGCTTTGTACGCCCATGTTCCTTCAGGTGACAGAATACACAAGCTGCAACCATCAAAGCCCATATTCTTTTAGGCCATTCTAGTCACTAGGAGCATTGACAGAAAAAAACCTCACACAAATAAACAGAATTTTGTCCCATTGACGATTAATAACTAATTAGACAACAAGCTCCTCGTTAATGTTTCTCTGTGAAATCCCAAGAAAGAGGAAAAATGCTGTTCAACTGCTTCTGCTAGTGTGGAAAATTCTTTTAAAACATTTATGGACCTAAAACATCTTAACTATTCAAAATTTGAAGGGTAGTTTATGAAATCAGGTGGTCTGCCTAACTATTAAATGCTACAGAAAAGGCTATGACACATTGTGTCAAGTACATTTAAATATGAAGGAGGAAGTAAAAAAGCAGGCATTGACAACTGAAACACAGATATAATGGGAAAACAAGGTGGTTAGGGGTAAGGAGAAATATGGGACAGACGGAAAACTTTGGCAATAAGCAGCTCATCAGATCAATCCAGGATTAAAAAGCTCCCTTGCAGAAAGTGAATTCCAAAACCACGCTCAGTTCATGCCAGCAGCCAGTTATTACTGACTGATTCCAGGAACAACTCCAGAGGGAACTGAAAATCCCCATGTTTTCGTATTTTGGATGTTCAAAAATTCTAATGTATCAGAAATGAAACAAAGTAACAGAAAAGTTAGGAAATTCATAGAGCTGGCTTCCACCCCCTCAATTTAGATTATGACAGTTTTTTGGGGAGAAGAGGCATCAGTTCCATCCGCYTTTATTACTACATCCATTTTATTACTACAAAGAAAAACCTAATTTAAGTGTACATAGGTTTTAAGTGTAGATTTAGATATTAGTGTCTAAGTGTACTAAAATGTTAGGCTTTAAGTGCACTAGGATTTTAAGTGTACTTAAGATCTGACTGCTGAGCATTCAGCACAGACCGCATATGGATCCTGCATGGGATTTACAAACTGCTTAGAAAATAAAGTCTGCCACTAACAGTAGTTAAGTGCTAATTACTGAAAATATACATATGTAATAAAATACAGTGTAATGGAAAGAAAATGGGAGACAAAGGTGTCCAAAAGGCTTTGAACAGCAAACTCACTGGGTTAGATACTGAACAAGCACAAAATAAATGAAAAGTTTGAGTCCCAAAGATGTCATGCCCTGAAGAAAAGAGTAGCCCAGGAACGAGAGAGAGGGACTGACATTGTGCTGAGAAGCTGAAAACAAAACTGAATCTGAAGCAGAGGTAAAAAATGTTTTGCAAAGTATTGGTTTGTAGATACTATCATCATAACTAGGAACTAAGCTTGCATCTACGTATATATTTGCACATGGAATGCTGACTTAGCATGCTCGTGGCATGCATATGCAATCAACAGGAATAAGAACAGAAATCAAATAAAGTTTTATAAAAAATACAAAAATTATAGGGAAACTAAACCAGGCAATTCTGAAATATTCATTATCTGTCTTCTGAATTCTGTCTTCCTTTAGAGCAGGCTCTTTTTATACTTAAGTATAGTTTACCTAAAAGTTTTAAGTTTTCACTTAAAAAGGCTTTTATCTAAAAGTTCATGAAAGTTTAACTTATTACGAAGTTAAGCTATCTTTGCTGATCTTTTGTGTCCCATTAGAAAAAAATCAGCTTCCAAAGTAGGAAAATTCTGAACAAAGTAATGGGTGCTGTACTTATGAGTCCTTAAATAAGGTGCTGTATGATTCCTCTTACTGTCCCAATACAAAMCACTGTTATTTTAATCCTAATTTTGTTAAACGTGTCACCACACTTGCAACAGAAAAGTGATAAAATTATGCTGAATGCTTTGTGAAAGTTACATTTTATGCTCTGAGCCTAAACCAGCAGAAGACTGAAGCACTCTCCCCAGTACCACCAGCTCCAGTGCTGCTTACACACACGCTACCCACTGACAGGCTGATGCACTGTGGTGCAAAAAGAGTGAAAATAACTCGAAGCAGCACAACACGATGCGCTACATAAACACACACAAATAGCCACCCYAAAAATAACTGCTAGATCTCTCCTGATGCTAAGTCTTAACCATAGCGCTCCTGGCATAAGATAAAAATCCGCACATAAATTTTATTTCAAAATGGTATTCCTTGAAGTAAAAAGGGGATATAAGAATATTTAAGGATCTGAAAATCCTCAAATCTAGCTGAAAATGAGGAAAATATTGAGGAATGAAGATCTGGAGTTTCACCGGCAGCTTAAAAGAAAAAAAGACATAGCAGGTGGTACCACTTGCAGCAACCCAACGCTAGGCAAGGCCACCTCCCCTTCCCAATCCGCCGCTGACCGCGTTAGAGAGGAGGCAGCCAGGGCACACGGAGGGCTCTTCCCGCGTGCGGCGGCCATGGCCGCTCTCCCTCTCGTTACCCAAGGCCTTGGACACAGCGGGGCCGAGGAGCGGGCCTGGAGCGGCCTGTGGTGGCGCAGGCCCCGTGCAGCTGCAGGGCCCGGGGTCGCGAGCGGCCCCAGCCGCCAAGCGCCTCGCAGCTAAGCGAGTTCCTTGCTCACTAGGCTRGTTCTTCCCACATGTTTAATGCTCTTGGTTTTCTTCAGCAACACTAGAAAACTCTATCCCCCTCCTAAATTGAGCAAATCTGTTCCCAAACTTGCCACGTTTTCAATAGAAAAACAGTCGGGAACAGGCTCCTTTCTCATATCCTAAGTTTAAGCTTTTTCAGGCTAAAAACTTCCACTTTCCCCTTTGCCAGAGCTTGTCAATCCGACATCTTTTGCACTTACTTTAATACAATATGAAATGCAATTATCTTCATAGTGTTTACAGCAGCGATGCCTAGGGCCATGTTTGCACCTGCAAAGAGCACAATGAAACACATATTAATGTGTAGCTGTTTTCARTGTAATCAACAGGAGACTTCATAAATTTCTCTTGCCTCAAAATACATAAAATGCTTTTTTCCAGCTTTTCATTTTTCACGTTACCTATTGACGGGCACTGTGAGTGTTCACAATGTTATAAAAGTGCAATAAAAACAAACAATACTTCGGTTGTGCTGCAGAAATGTCTGCGCACTTATTTTGATCCAAAYCCTTTTTCTTGCAGTGCCGCACCTATAAATACAAAATTAAACAACAAACTTTCTGCTGCAGCCAAGGGGGAAAAACCTGGCACATAACTCCAGTGGAACTGTTCTTCCCAGTCTGTCTCCACTCCACGGTTCTGGAATCACATTTGAGCAAGTATCCATTCCCTATGCTCTTACATCATTCACACCCCTTCAAGTTTATTGGAAGGCAATGTAGAAAATCCAAATATATAGATATTCCCAGCAAGTCTCAAACAAAATCCCTTCACTTTTGGGCTAATATACTCCTACTGTATAGATTTTTCTGTGGCTCGTAGCTGGTGCTGAGAATTTAACCTTGAACACAGAGAAGAGATTGGTTTGCGCTGGTGGGATGTGAGGATTGTACAGTTGTTATCCCCACATTAGGCAAAATTAAAAGGAAGTAATGTCATGCCAGGTCTGAACATTACATTTTGTTGTTGCCAAGTATTTAAGGTTTAATACAAAATAAATTACACAACTTCTATACTGTGCCAAATATCTCAGAAGTTTCGAGTCTTGTAATATAAAGTCTAATGGCCATAAATCATCCGTGAGGTCAGTTTATGTAGCAAAAATTGCAATGAGAATGTGATCAGGTTACAGGCATTTAGACTCAATTATATTGAAAAGAACCATATGGAAGAAAAACCTGTGAGAGCATGAGGACTGAAAATAGGAGTTTTTTTGAAAGTCTGAATAGGGAGTTTCAAAATCTTAAAGGAAGAACATTCTTCTCCACCTTTAGCTCCTTCAGGATATTTAATGAATAGAGGGCCTTTTTACTACTCTAATGAACTAAATAAGGGGAATTTAAGACAGATCAGGTATAAAGAAGTCAGTCAAAGGAAACCACATATAACTGCAGCTGTTTTTTTCTGTTGGTAGGTCTGTCAAATTCCAGCTCTCCTTGAAAAGCCCATGCTAATTTCCCTTATATTTTCATTTTAAAAATAAGGCAAATCAGTGCAAGGGGCCATGTGATGCAGGCCAGTTTATGTTTGTTCAGTACCTGAACAAGTCATATAAGCAACTACTCTGATAATGCAATGGACTCTGAAGACTTCTTTCTCTCCTGCATGTGGGCAGGTAAAAATCTGGTCATAAAACTGTTCCTGGAGACATCAGTGGAAGTGAAGATGTGACATGATCAGACTTGTACTATTTGTTATCCCATCTTCCTTAATATGAATTCTTCCTCATGGTACCCACCACACTTGAGGCAGACAAATCAAGCACAGCAGAAGTAACATCTGAGCACATTAGACTGTATAAGCTACGTGATGTCCCTTCTTTAAGCTCATACTGAAAGATGGCAAACTGAACTTGGCAGGCAGAGTATAAGACTACTGCTAGTGCCAGTGGAACCAGCTGTGAGGTGGTTTCGCAGGATGCTGTGGAAGAATCGAATATCCCTCTACCACTCAAACCTAATGAAGTTACATCCTCTCGTTAGAGAACTGTGCAATGCAAGTCATGCTGAAGCTCTTCCATGACACACAKGTCTCAAACTTAGCTTCATGAAGGTTCATAATTTGTTGCTGACAGCTACCCAGCAAAACAAAATCCAGATCTCTCAAATGCAGAGTGAAAGTATCACAAAACACTGTCACACACCATGTAATAACCCATGAAAATGAACTAAGTAAAATGATTAGTTATGCTTTGTATTTCCCTTGTTTTCCTTCGACTCACACTTTGTCCATGAGCTTTTTTGTTAGAGCCAGTATGTTCATTGACTGCGAGATTTTTTCACGATGCTTTATCTTCCTATCTGTTCTTGAAAATGCTGCTTCTGGTGAAAATGAATGAGTGGGGATTTCTTCTTTCCCTACAATGAATCTGAAAAAAAAAAAACCATCACAGATCAAAAACATTAGTTTTTTATAGAACTCAAAAAGTACATAAAGATCAATACAAGTCTGCTAAATCTTTAAGGCAAGTTTGAAGTTGCCCACAAGTTTCCAAAAGAAAATGTATCCTTAAACAGGGATGCCAAGCCTTATGCCTCTTCAAAAAGATCAGTCCACCAACATATATTTAAACTTCAGATACAGCCAAAAATGCTTTGGATATTTTTTAAAAACAGAAGAAGAATGGTATTGGGGAAGTCCATCTCAAAGGAATACTGAGGGAAAAAAAAAGGCACCTATCTCAAGTTATTTGAAGAAATAGGAGTCAAATTAATTTTAATGATGAAAATTGGTGTCTTGTAACACCTTCAAAACGCCTTTTCTCCCACCAGCAGCATCAAGTTAGTTTTGCTTGGCTTTGTCTTCAGCTTTCTTTCTTCACCAGTTGGTACCGTCTACGCACTGAGTTATCTAATGGCAAGGAAGTTCACTGTAACAAGCTGCACTGTTTCCTACCCCTTGCACTATGACCCAAGCTATGCTGTACTGTGGCAATCTTGTTGACGGCTGGTGCAGATATAAATAAATTTTTGCCATTCAGCACAGTACAGAATCTCCCAGTAAACTGGTGGCTTCAGAAAGCACTGATTATGCATGCTGTCACACGAGGGCTTCATGCCCGAATTTCTGAACTATGGTCTGACTTATTTAACTATTGGCACCTTTCATCACATTCCACAGCTGTTTGATGGCTGTAACCTCTCTAAAATACTTTCCACTATCAACAACAGCAACACTGTTTTGCTTGACATTAGCTTCAGTCCTTTCATCACCTGGGAGCTGATGTTGTCCATGCACTTGGCTRTCTTAGTGGGATGGGAGAATACAGCAAGGGAAGGACAAGAGGAAGGTCTGCAGACATCCTGCTACTGACACAGGACGCTAAGCCAGGTGTTTTACTACCCAAGTGAGTGAAGGCCACCGGGCAGAGTCACCGCAAGATAAACTGCAGGCAAGGCACACAAGCTTTAGTGGCACAGGGCATCTCAAATGAGGATGGGGAGGCTTCATGACTGCTTTTGGTGCTGCTCACAGAACTACTGCAATATTCACTCGCCATTCTGTGAATAGAGCAAATAACCTCCAGGTCAAAACACAGCTTCCAGAGGAATACTGGGAATCACGCATCCCAATTTTAGCAAATGGAAAGATTAATATTCCTTCAAAATCACTTAACCATACATCTGCATCTTCTTTCTGTAACAGTCTCAAATAAGAAGATCTTTTTCTTGCCAGCGTATTATGCCTTCTTTAAAATATGCAGTATATCCAAGAAGTTGGAAATGTTTCACAATAGCATATTGGGATTTCTTTTTTCCTTAAAAAAACCCTCTGTTTTCACATAACACAATTTCCACTACTCAGAATTCCTCAAAATCATCACTTTGGACTATGCACTCAGTGAAACTATTTTCTTTACTTACTTTAGTGCAGAGTATGTAAATCCTTTCAAGCCATCTTTGCACCTGAAACATAAAAACAACAATCTTTTCTGTAATGGACTGCTTGCAGTGTAAAGTGTTGCACTTTAAGTATTACGGAGAAGGGCTCTGGAAAAACATCAGTTTCTCATTAATGGGAATCAGTGAGTCTCTAACAAGTCTACAGCAACTTCTGTTGTCACCAAGGCCTTGGAACATCTCAGAAATAAAAGGTAAATTCAACACAGAAATGCCAGTGCTCTTCTCTCTTATCAAAGGCAGGAGTGGAGAAATTTTGGAAGGACGGTAACAGAATCACAAGGGTGGCAATGACAACTGCCATGTGACAAAGAAGAGCTATTTTAGGGAAAAGAAGTCACGATGGTTTTCCTGAAATCTAAATGTTATTGCAAAGAGAGAATGTAAAGCTGGACCTAGAAAACACCCCACTGGAAAGAACTGCAGGGAAAAGTTATTCTGACTTGGAGAAAAACTGTTCTGTGTTGTACTGTGCTGATCCCTGCAATACTTCACTTTMGGAAAATTCTCAAGCTGAAAGTCAGTTGTTCAGTCACGTAGCAGCCAGTCTGATCCTGAGCTTGATTATATACACCCTCCCTTACATACTGTGGGGTTCCTTATGTGAATAATGACAATAGTAAAGAGTCTTTATGTGGCTGGGAAAGCTTTAGGTCATGGACGTTTTTCTGCACAGGATATGATGAATGGGAGGGGAGTTTGCAGCTGCCGCAGATTCTTCCTGGAAGACTGCTCAGAGCCCCGGTGGCACRTTGATAGGAAAGCAAAGAACAGATACTTTCTTTTTCCTCTGCTTCCCTCTTTATAGGATTGCAGGGGGAACAGACCACAGAATAAACTGCATTCCTCATGCACTACATACTGCACAAAACAGTAATTAGCACCATTGTTTCAAGAACATTGCAAAACAGTTGCTAATTATTGTACCTAAAACACTGATCATATTGTATATATGATCCACAGGCAGTGTGTCACCCTCCCCAAATCAAATTCTTTATTCTATTTTTTATTATTATAGAACATTGCAACCAAATATCCATAAATATTTTATTTTCTAATGATTCTTTACCTGTGGAAAACAGAAGCTGAAAATCACTGTACTGCTTTTGCAGAAAGGTGGACTTAAAACTCCAAATGAAATTAGCTGTACTCAAAATCATAGCACAAATCGGTGGGAAAACAGAAGCAGAGCCCAAATGCACAGAGTTTATATACACCCACTTATATTTATATACTACCCCCGGCACCACAGTCCARCATCACGGTTCATTTTTTAAACAAACAATTGAATGAGAATTAAAGGCTCCTCTGAGTCAAGGGTGTTCTACACATTATTTYTGCACGCCCTCAACTCAAGAATAGGTCCTTAGTTTCTACTTTTCTTTTTCATGGACCTGTAAATTAAAACCATACACCTACTGAAGTAAAAACTCACGGTGTCTCTAGAATAATAATGAAATAGAAGAATAATCACAGTGTAAGCGTAATTATGTTCTTGCCTTAAACACTGAAAGGCAATTGCAGTTTTAGTCGGAAGTGCTCAAACAATTATTCCATTATTATACCACCAGATGTCCCTAATCAACTATTACTCAAAGCCTGACCTGATATGAGAGAATTCACGATGGCYGTTGTACAATTCATTCAAGTTCTGCTCAGAGACATTGTCAATCAAATCATTTCTTCACTAACACTGAAAGCCACAGATATGTGAGTTACTCAAAGACAAAATTATTTCCAAGCCTCTAAATGCTCCTCCAAGAAACATGAGAAAGATTCCTAATCCCCATTCTAGTTACATATTTCACGTTGTTTCTGTGCAGCAAGTATTTGGTGTGACCAGGTTTTCATAGCTATTCAGAGGTACATCTACGAGACCCCATGCAAACACTAAACACGTGCTTCAAAGCAGAAGCAACACTAAAGACATAACTCCAACTCTTTTTCATATTAACTTCCTGATCTCTGGTTATAACAGAACAAAATAGTTCTACTTAAACGGAACTTAAATTCATGTTGCTAGTTTCCTAAAATTTCTGTCGCAAAGCACTATTCAAGCCAGTAAGCCCGTGAAAGCACRGCACAAAAGCAATCCCTGCACTGGCTCCAGACACACTTTCCTTTTTCGGAGGATGCCTAGGTAGGGGGCACGTCACATAGCCACGGGCTTCACGTGCGGCTCGAAGGCACAACCCGCTGCATATGGTACATTTCATGAACACCTGGCCACTAATAACTGAACTAAGACTAATGATTTGCCTCATGCAGGCCACTACTAATTGGTAATAATAACTTTTACTCGCTGCTTCATTGCCCAAGCGGTGAGAAGTCTGCAGGCTGCGGGTGACCCCTGTGAGCCCCGCGAGCCGCAAGGCAGCGCGGTAAAACGCACATGCCAAACATGCCAGATTCCCATGAGGAGGAGAACGCTCAGCAGCACGTTACAGCCTTTAGGCTTTGAGAAATGATGGTCAAACTGCTAAATCAGAGATGCTGGCTCAGTCGTGCACTGGGTGAAACCTCTCAGTGAGCTTCACCTTACCTAGGTCTCACCACCCTTAGCGTCCCGGGACGGAATCTGGAGTTCCAGGAAGGCCCCGCTTTTTGCCTAGCAAGCAGTAATGTAAAGGGAGCATAATCCTCCTCCAGCTGCCGAGCCGAGAATTTTCCCATCGGAGGGGAATTTGCCCCTGGTGCCGAGCCAGCAGGGCCAGCGGCCGGGCCAGCTGTCCCCGTGGGCCGGGGTAGCTGGCGGCAGCGGGAGCGCGGCCGCCCCAGCCGACGAGGCCGCGGCAGCAGCAGCAGCTCCGCACAACCCTGGAGCCCAGCGGCGACGGGGGTTCCCCAGGCTCCCCCCGGCACAACCCTGACACATGAGCCAGCACGGGGGGCRGGAGGCAGCCCCCACGCTGGGGCGAGGGGCTCCGTGACAGCAGCCATGGTTTGGGGTTTGCACTCGCGCCAGGAGCCCTCTCGAGACCTTCTCCRTCACCATCCTCTGAGGCGGCAGGTYGCTCCTCGGGGCTCGTGAGGAGAAAGCCGCTGACGGCGGCGGCACGTGTCATGTCCAATGGTGTTCCCATGTCACCCGGGATGTCCTGGGGGCAGGAGGACGGGAGCGGCTCTTCCCAGGGCTCACGCAGGGCTGTGTGGGAAGGAAAGGCCCCATGTGAGAGGAAAGGCGCCACGGGCAGCAGCACATCCTGCCCACGAGCACCGCGCTCGATAGCGATGAGACTGAAAGGGCAGACCACGCGTCAGCGCAAACCAGGGTTACAAAGAACGTCCCTATGCAGGGACAGAGGCGCAATCACCACGGATAAGAGAAAGGGAACCATTATTAACTCAAGTGTAGCTCTGGTTTTTTTTGAGGCTAATGGCTTATGTGGTGACTCTGAAATAAAATCACATTTTGAAAGTGATAGTTTTCCTGAATGCTCTGGGACTAAAACAACTGATCACTAACCAGTTAAGATTTTAGGGAACTTTCCGAGTATCTGGACAATAGGGACCTAAGAAGGACATTGTCCCTGCGCTAACAGCAATGTCCAAGTCCACTGAGCTATTAGTGGTTTATGACATGGCTGCACCACAGCATTTTGTGCCTAGACTTTCTTAACAGCTTAGAACAAAGAACACTTTGCTCAGATATTTTCCTACTAGAGATAAAGAGGCTCAAATCTGAACTTGCAGCACCAGCTTTGGAAACCAGGAGACATTTAAATGGATTTCTTCGGATCAAAACCCCTATTTGTTGAGGAGTTGAGGAGCATCTAAGCCCAAAGGAGCTTCCTTTCGAGGTCTACAATTGCACATGGTGCAGGAGGTCAAAATAGAGGAAATCTGCCATTGAATTGTTGTTTTTACACAGAAGATTTAGTTAGATTTTTCTTCTTTTTTCTTCAATATTTTTTGCCATTTCATGGATATGTCTCCATTTACACCTCATTAAAGACATTTAAACTTGCATATCTCTCAAAGATGCATTAACCCAAACAGAATAAACGGATTTTGGACAATTGTGGTCCCTTGGCTACATCCACAAAACTTTTTGCCAATCTAGATAGATTGTAACATATCTCTTAAAGACACTGAGAAAGCCTCCTATGGAGACATCTTGAAATTCTGCAAGAAAGCAATAATCGGTTCCATTCACCAGCTGCCGTTAACATTAACATTTTCCCTCTTGTAACCAATCTAAGGCCTTCTTGCCACCTTTGAGCAGCTTCTCCATACCCTGTCTTTTTCCAAGATTGCAATCAGCTTCTCTTGCTGGTGTCTTCAAGGCGTTTTAGCTGTCCTGCTGCTCTGAATACGCAGTCCCTGCAGAGGCTGGCAAGCCTCCTCTGGAGGCACTGCTGAGATTGCTTTGCAAAATAAACAAATAAATCAAGTATGGAAAATGGCAATGTCTGGCGGCAGTCAGCCTGTCATGCAGAGAGCCCGGGCTGGCCGTCCCGCAGATGAGTGCTGAGACAGGCACGCGGTCCATTACGTTAGAAGCAGGGATCATCACCCGCCTTCCTCCCTCCTGCCGCTTGTCCAGCACTGTGGTGGAGACTCCTCCACCTCCCCGGGTTTGGAAAGGAGCAGCCAGGCTGCTTATCTGCAAGSAGAGACCCAGCAACAGCCACGGGCACAGTGAGTTTTATAGGCGCCCTTGGAAGCGGCTGCTTAACGCGGAGTGGGATCACGAGGCACAACTTGTGACTTGGGCAGAGGAAATCCGCAGAGGCAAGTTGAAGATGAAGAAAGGACTTGCAACCACACCTCCTTCTCCGCTGAATTAATCTTTTTCTGGCTCAAGGATTTATTTTCTTTCCATCTTTACTCATAGGTCTTCCCATCCAGCCTGGCACTACGGGAAAAGGAGTAATTGTAAAAGGTGCTGTTAACAAAAAAATCTAATTTTCCATCTGTGGACAACAAGGAACTTTCCAAAGACATGTTACAAATTATATTTGAAAAACAGGTGAAGCCAGAGAAGGTGCAGCTGAAACATAAAA